ACACTGAGGGCCCTTCCTGGTGGTGCAATGGGTTAAAGCGCAGCACTACAACACTGGCCATAGCCACTGCAGCACAAGTTCGATCCTGGCCAGGGAGGTGACCCATATGGCGCCGCAGACCTCTCCTGACCTGCCCGCTGCTCCCCTCAGCAGTTTACTTCTTCGATCTGCCTGTCCTGCTCCCCACTCTGTCTCTGGTGAAGCCTCTCACTGCCCCTGCATCTCTGGCCTGTACCCCAGTTCTGTATGCATAAATAAAGAAATCTTTAAAACAAACACAAACAAAAATAAACGAGACACTGAAGATTGGAGACGTGAAATAAAGGAGCTCAGGGTCAGGATAAGTGGAATGCATATGGGTATTATTATCAGACAGTCTTGAACTTGAATCTAGGCTTCTCCATTTCCTGAAGCCTGTGTAAAGAATGTTATTTCTGTAAGCCTCAATGTTCTCATTAACAAAATGGGTATCGTTCCCTTCCTCATAGCATTGTCCTGGACTGGGTGAGATAACAGACATACCACATACTCCACCATGCAGCAAAGCCAATGATGAGTGTACTCTATGAGGCAGAGCCTAGCATCCCATTTTGCAGATGAGGACATTGAGGAGCAGAGAAGAAAAGTAACACACAGAGGGCCTACAGCTATTACGGGACAGAGGTGGATTTGAATCCAGACTCCTGACTGCCGTCAGCATTCTCAGTCCTCACTTGCAGCAGAGCTCCTGGGAAGTGCGTTAACCTGACTCCTTTTACCCATCTGTGAGCAGGTAAGCTAATCTCACACTCCATTCTGTGCTTACTTCTTTGGAGGCAGACGAGCAGTTCTCGAACTGGCACAGGCCCATGGACCACACTGAGTAGCGCTGTTCTCTGCCACTTCTGAGGACAATGATGTTATTCATAACAACAATGGTTAGCGAAAACATCTTGGCTTTTTATAGCATCCTCGCCCTCCTCTTCATACTTGGGCATGTCTTAACTGATTTCATCTTCCCAAAGACTCCACAAAATGGGTCCTATGATCATCCCAGTTGGAGCTGGGGAAGTGGGATGCTAAGAAGTGGAATCACCTGCCCGTGGCAGCTCAGCTAAAAGGTAGAGCTAGGATTAGTATCAGCACCCCATCTACGCACCTCTCTCTTTTCTTACCACTGAATTAGATTCCCAAAGAGGTCAGACGGCGCCCTATCTGCCTCTGTGAAGCGGGAAACAGAGAAGATGCTTTCTGAATGCTCGGACATTCTGCAAGTCCTGTAACCACATAATGTCATTCAATGCCATTTCAGTATGACGCCAACAGGAATCAAAAAATGCTGGCTGGTGGGGGAAAAAATGGTATTTGAGGACCTGGCTTCATCATACAATGTTTTGCTTAACGCTGCAATTTCCAAGACCCTACCAGCCACACGCAGTGAGGACTCAGCGTACTCTGCCGGGCTGGCAGAAACCGGGGCGAACTGAGACCCTGCTGTATGTAGTATCTTAAGAACAAACTGGCCTGGGTTTTTTTTTTTTTGCTTTTATTTAAAGTAATCTTTCTAATTATAATAAAATCATTGAAGAATTACAGCAGGGCAAGTCATGAGCACAATCTCTGTTGGCAATCTCTCACAACCTCCCAGGGCCCTTCCACATCCCAGCCTTGTCTCCGTGGGAGTCCTTGCCCCTAAATTTGGGTGGCCACCCACGTTAACATTCAGGGAGAGGTCTGCAGCCCCGCGCTCCCGACTTTGGCTCTGCTCCTGTCTTCCCTGGGGCTGTCTCAGCTCCAACTTCTGCTTCTCTATCACGCTGATCACGTTTGTTTCAGATGCCAGTCTGGGGTGAGGGCACCCCTCTGGGTCTTCCTTCATTATCTTTGTGTTTTTTTCCTGTTTTTTTTTGTTTGTTTTTGTTTTGGAGGAGGAACACTGCAAAAGTGGCTTTCCCCAGAGTGCTCGCCCAACTCACTGATTTTGAAAGAACACATGAACTGTAATGGATGGTGTGTTAGTGCCGGCTTTGCCGCGCAGAGGCAACACCCCCCAGAGGTATAACTTCATCATGAAATAACACTATTATTTATGGTGTGGTAACGATGTCTGAGGATTCAGTGTGCCCAATGTTTTTGTGTATATGTAACATTGGCCAGTCCAGGGGGGTATGGCAAGAACTGGCTTGGTCCTGGGTTCACAAAGAAGGTCAGAGTAAGGGCGTTGCTAAGAGATTCCATTACTTGGCAAGGGCACGAGGCTGGTGAGTGGCAGGCCTAAGAACGGTCACAGATTCAACTCCAGGGGAGACCCAAGCTCGCGGGTAAGGGGTACCCACTGGGACGGAGCCTCAGTTTCCTCATCTGTGAAACGGGAACAGCAACACCTGTTGGGTCACTGGGAGGGCAAAACGCAGTAAAGCCGTTGGTACGACCCACCGACACGCTCTAGACTGCTGACATCCACTAGGAAGAGGCCTCAGCACAGTTGCTTTTCAGCACAGTTGCTTTTCTCTCTTTTTCATCTCTTTGCTTCTGCCTTTTTCTGGCTGCCAGCTTGACTCGGTCCTGGTTTGATGGGGGCACAGAGGTCTGAGCCTGTGCGTGTGATCACGCCCAGAGAAGAGCATGAGCTGGAAGCTCATCCAACATTCTGGGAAACTCCACCTCCTGCACCCTCCACCAGAATCTTGACATTCTGGGCTGGACAGCTAATGTGTTTGTGCTGTACAGTGATGTCTTGGAACTAACTTCCCAAATTGCTTTTATGGGGTGGCTCCAGAAAGTGGCGAAACTACTCACTCCTAAAAGTCTATCTTCCAAACAGAGGTATGGGGTCTGAAAGCTTGGCTCAGGTTTCCACCCGTCCCAGAGGGAACGGTTTCCACCCTTTACTGCCGCCACAGCCCTCGCTGCCCCTATCTGCTACTTGGATGCTAGAAAACAGAAAATCACGTATGTGAGGAACTGGAAAGCTAGAGCGTGGTGATGGCACCTTGCTCCCTCCCAAATCCCCCCACGCCCCCGCTCTCCCACTGGAGGTCAGACCCTCTTGCTCACCTGTTGTACAGCTGTTGGGAACTGAACGTATACAGCACATATAGGGTGTTCCCTGCCAGAAAGGTCAAGATCCACAAGATGACCAGCACTGACCTCTTCTCCTGGAAATGAAGCAAAGATGCACATGTCAGAATATTCCAGAATAAGCTTTGATACGTAACAAACTTCCTTTCTCAAAACTTTGGAGGAAGCAGGGTTAACAGTGAGGAAGGGCACTCACTTCTTTCCATCCTGCTCAAACCCAAGAGATGATCACAGAAGTGACAGAATGTTGAAACCTGCTTGGTGAATTATCCAAAAAGGCAGGAGAGAACGTGGTTAGCATGCAGTTAGGATTCTGGAGCAGTTAGGATTCTGGTCCAGGATCCAATCTTAGCCTGCTACCTGGCAGATGCATTTGTATTTTCCTTTTCTTCAGCTATAAGATGGATGTCATGTATATATCTCAGACTTGTGAGAATTAATGTACATGAAGCGTTTAGGACAGAGTCTGACATACAGTTCATGTTACTGAACATTTCCTGTAGGGAACAGAGGCACAGAGAGGTGAAGTAACTCCTGTTTAGGGCACATTTTTTTAAGATTTATTTTTATTTATTTATGCATACAAGAACTGTGGTATAACCCAGGTGTGCAGGGGGGAGGGTGAGAGGCTTCACCAGAGACAGAGTGGGGATCGACTGAAATCCACTGCAGAGGGGAGCAGCAGGCGGGTCAGGAGAGGTCTGCTGTGCCACGTGGGTCAGCTCCCTGGCCGGTTATCGAACTCATGCTGCAGTGGCTGGCAATAGTTTGATAGCCACTAAGACTTTAATCCTCCACCACCAGAGAGGCCCACAGCACATGTTTTAAGCCTCAGTGCCCTTATTTGAAAATGGGTGTTTGGGAAAGAATGAAGTCAGACACATTCATGTAAAGTTCCGTCTGCTATCGGTTCAGATTTTAGCTCCCTAAATGGTGGGAGTTATTACTCAGACTTTACAACTCAGCAGTTGATGCAGATCGACAGGTTAGAAACTTCTGCTTTGACTTTTTCTAGCACGGTCGTTTTGGCAAATGCCGGGGGCTGACAATTCCATAAAGGTAGGGCGAGGTTTACAGGATCAAGCTCACGCATGTGGCCATCAAAGCCTTTCACAATCTGGCCCCCTTTCCCTTCCTCTAGCCTACTTAGTGTTTATTCCCAGGAAAACTGCCTCTGTTTGCTGTTTCCCAGCAGCTTCTTGGCCTGAGAGCAAATGCAGAAAATTTCTGGAGGAAGCACAGAGCTGAGCACATACACATCCGTGTGCCTGAGGAGACACAGGCAGACCCCAATGCCGCTGATTCTCAAAAGCTCATCTTTTCCTGGACCAGGGCGGCTGCATTGCTGGAATAAGATGAGGTCATAACTTTCCACAGCGTAACCTTCCCTGCGGTTTCGGTAAATGCTCCACTGTCTGCAGACATAGCTCAGCACCCCACGCACTGTTACGATGCACATTTTCATAGAGGAGACAAAATAAATGCATCTCTATCCACCCATTATTCCAGGAGCGGTCAAGGTTAACGACCCTAGAAACCACCTCCAACCAACAACCAACTGCTCTCATCAATGTGATTAATCCACTCGGCAGCCCTTTCTTACCCCAATAAATAATAGATTTCAGTTTTATCTTCTGTAAACCCCAAGCAAAGATGGGATAGGAGGAGGATGCCTGAGGAGCCAGACTTTGAAGGACAAAGGGGTAATTCTCTAGTACTACAGCAGGACTCCAAAGAAGCACCAGACAGACTTTTTATTTTTATAGAAAAGATGCACATACTGGCACCATTATCTCCTGTGTCTGCATATGATTCAAGGAGCCTCTAGAAGCCCTTCTGTGATCCTGGCATCAACTCGCCCCTACAATGCAAGTCAGTACAGTTGAGTGAGACCAGCCCCCGAGGGACCTACTGTGGAGTGATCTACCTGCTGTTCTGACAGCAGCAGGAATGGGTCTGCATGAAGATGAGACTAACCGTAAGGAAGGACCTCTGGCCTCACGCCCAGCTCTGGCCTAAACCTGCTCGTGTCGAGTGAGGCTGAGCCGCCCTCCTTGCCTCATGGAGGCCCAGGTGCTTCTTGCGCAGAAGCACCTGGTGAGAAAGAATGGTGGCTGTTGCAAGACCACATGTACCTGATAGAAATAGCTCGATTAAACATTTGTTACCTGCCAAGACCATTGTAAACACCTGCAGTGCCCGGTCTTATTTAATTCTCTCAAGGAGTGCAGGAACAGTGTCTTCTCCAAAGCGAGCACCTGAAGCTGAGATCACCAAGGCATGCTTCCTGTCTGAGGGCTTGCAGATGGGTGGAGCAACTGGGATTCGAACCTGGGCTCCGGGAGCAATGCCTGGGTTCGCATCCTGATGCCACCACTTACACTAGCTGTGTGATCCCAGGCAAGGAGCTTAAGTGTCTCTGTGTGACTGTTTGCTATTGGGACAACGGGAGATGCAGACGAGCTGTGCAAAGGGCATGGCTGCGTTGGGCAGAGTACTCACAGGTAGCAGGTAGGATGATGGTGCTGCCGCTGGCTGTCTCAGCAACACTACGAGGGCGGGCTGAGCTAAAAGACTGCGAGGAGAGTGGGACTGGGAGGGGCTATGGGGAAGATGCCAGTGTTACATCTGGGGATCAACCTGGGGTGGCCGGCAGAAGAATGGCCATCCAAAGATGTCCCCACCCTAACCCCTGCAAGTTGAGACTATGTTAGGTCACATTTGAAGGGGGAATTAAGGCTGCAGGTAGATAAAGTTGCTAGTCAGCTGACCTAGTGATGGGGAGAATCTGCTGGATTAGCCATTTGGGTCCAGTGGAAGAGGGGGATAGAGGAGGAGAGACAGGGGGATGTGGAAGGGTGGCCACAGAGGTGCAACAGTGCAGACCTGAAGAAGATGCCGTGAGCCAAAGGTGGGCTTGGAACAGACAAGGGAAGAGGTTCTCCCAACCCTCTTGAAGAAATAGTCTTGGTGAAACCTTGATCTTAGGCTAGAGACTGCCACTCCAGACTTCTCATCTATAGAACTGATAACACATTTGTGTTGTTTTAAGCCACTACGGTTGGGATCATTCGTTATGGAAGCTAAGGAGACCCGTGGGCATAGACTCACCTTCAGAGAAACCTGTTCTCGCAGCGTGGAGTTGGCATAGGCGAAGGTGCTTGCCATCCCAATGCACACAGCGATGCCTGTGGGGCAGAGGCGACACCCACTCAGACCCAGGCCCGGCCCCAGGCCCACCAGGGGCCGAGAGCAGTGTTTAAAGACACATTCCTGGTGCCCCAGGTTGACAGGCTAATCAGACTAGACAGAGAAAACCCAATTCTGGGAGAGACTTGGGCTGCTATGGAAATTGCTTGGAGCCCTGGGCTACTTCTGAGTTTCGCCTCTGGCTTAGGGACCGGACAGAGGCCACGGTGGGATTTATTCACTGGGTTAGTGCATGGGCCAGGCAGTCTGGTGAGAGCTGGGTTCAGACCCAGCTTCCTGTCTCTGAGGCTGGGCTTGCCACCTCACCTCCCCAAGCCCCCGTTTCCTCGTCTATCAGATGGACAGAACAGTAACAGTACTTCATAAAGTTCACAAGCTTCATCTAGCAGTTAGAAAGACTCTGAGGTGTGTTATTTGTAATGAGAGCACACGCTTTCTTTCCACACCACACACCATTAAAATAAAGTTTAACGTTACAGGGGAAAAACTGTCTATCCTGACTGACAGATAACATGATCTCAGCAGATGAGAGAGGGAATTGATTTTGATTTTTTCCCCATAATTTGCCAAGTTACACCCTTGGAATTCTCCCAGCCTGGCATTTCAAATCCTACTTTTCATTGCCCGCACACAGAACTCTGCTTTCATGTGACCTCGGGGCTTCTCACACCTGAGGTTTGCCAACTCTTTCAACAGCACATGGATTCCAGGCATTTCTCCAGATCTATTTTACAAAAGCTGTATTTCTTCACTGAAGACATATAAAATAGAAATGAGTAACTCACAACCCCACTTCTATTCTCTTGGATTAAACCAAACCACCTGCTAACTGAAAAAGGAACTGGCCACGCTGGAGAGTAAGACAGTGGGGAGTTTGCCGGAACCCAGAGCCAGGACGCGGAGGGGCAGGGCAGCTTTCATTTCTAGGAGTCGAACGGGACTGACTGATGTGACAGCAGCCCCTAAAGGAAGGTGAGCTGAGTCAGCTGGAACGCACTAGAAAGGGGCAAATACGATAAGCTGGCCTAGCATCTTCAGGGACACAGCAGGCCGTGAAGTCATTCCCTCCACAGGGCTGAACCGGCTGCCCCGAGCGTCTGCAGGCAGCAGCGGCAGCTTCTAACAGCAGTGGCCAACCGCGTTAATTCCGAAGCTGCTTACTGAGAGTTATTTTGCTTCCCAGTGTCACAGGCAGCATTTATTGGGTACTTGCTACAGGCCAGACTGAAGGTCAGATATTTTACATGAATTAATAAGGAGTATCGTGAAGAGCATAATCTACACCTGCACAGCACTTACCCCCGCCCGGTCTCTCCCAGGTGCTTTACACACATTTACTCCTCTAACCTCGTGCATCTCATGAAGCACTACTGTAACCCTCCCTTCGGGATGAGGGCCGAGGAACAGAGGGGCTAACTACGGCCCCCAGCATCACACAGCTGGGAGAGGCGGAGGCAGGGCTCAGGCCCAAACAAGCACCAGCTGTTACTCTATGCCGAGGAAGCTGCTATCACAACCCCAGGTGGACAGATGAAGAAACAGGCTCAGAGAAGGTGAGCGACTTTCTGAAGTCCACACCGAGATGGCCAGGACTTGACCTGAAGTCAGACTCAGAATCCCACAGTCTTAGTTACACACTTTGTCCCAAGAGGGGCTCTACTGCCTTCGCGGGGCACGTGGACTGGAGATCCCCCTTCTTCACGTTTTGGGGGACAGGGGAGTGCCCCAGGTCGTGACCCCGCACCTCCCGGCACTCACCGAGCTTGTGTTGGAAGCACACCTTGGCCAGGAGGATCAGGATGAAAGGAAGCCCTTTCTGGAGCCAGCAGACCACAGCCTTGAGCTCGGACAGGGCTGGGGCGGGGGTCCCAGGCTGCTCGTCACCCCCCTCCTCTGAGTGGGCGCGGTGGTCGCCACCCACATGCTGCAGCAGCGAGCTCCCGCGGTGGCCACCATGGTGGAAGTGGTGATGTGGGGGCCGGTGGTGGTAGGCGCCCCCCTCGCCGCGGACCCCACCTTCCTCCCGCGATGCCGGCATCTGGATGAACACGTCCCCGCCGCTGGCCGCGGAGCCCAGCACCAGGCCGGACTGGAAGGGAGCGGCAGGAAGGCTGCCCGCCGGGAGGCCCGACAAGCCGGAGAAGAGTGCGGGCGGGGAGGCCGCTTCTGCCTTCAGACTCTCAAAGACGCCCCCTTCGTCCACACTTGCCTCGGAGCTGAGCGCCTGGCTGCGACTTCTGGACCAGCCGGGAAGAGAAAGCCCCACCACGCCGGGAGCACGGAAAGGCAGGACCCCAGGGGCGGGGGAGAGGGAGCAACAGCGTCAGAGAAGTGAGGGCTGAAGTGTGCCCGCCCCCAGCCCCTCAGAATGTGACCCTGTGTGAAGACAAGGTCACCGGGCCAGGCCTAGCCAGCGTGACTGGCGTCCTTCTAAGAGGCGGTCTGGACGCTGACTCATACAGGACAGGAAGGCTGGGCGCAGACGGCCACGTGCAGCGAGCCGGACGCCCTCAGAAGCTAGCTCTGCGGACCACCTGCCCTCGGGCGCCGGCCTCCAGCGCGGACAGGGTGCACTTCTGTTTACCACCACCAGCCGCAGAAGCCCAAGCAAACAAAACCGGAACCAAAGTGGCAGGTTCCAGCCACAGCTCTGGTGAAAACAGTAGAGCCGAGGGCTCCCGACTGCAGTGCCTCTGCGCAGCTGGCCCCTCCCTGGGGCGGCATCCCTGCCCGAGCCCAGCCCAGCCTGGTCACCAGGTCCATGCTCGGAGGAGCCCTCCCGCCCCCCAGCCTGCCACGACTCGGGCCTTCACTTCTGCCCAGGACTGACCACGTGGTCCTTTTACCGCTTCTCTCTCCCTCGAGACCGGTGGGCTCTCTCTCCAGGCTGCACATTTGAACCTTTGGGGATATTTTTGAGAAATACGAGTGCTGTGGTCCTAGTGTGACCAACTGAATTAAAATATTTGGGGGTGAGCCCTGACATCCTCATCTCTTCAGGGTCGCAGGTGGTTGTAAGGTACAGTCAGCACTGACGAGAGCCCTTCAGACTGCTCTGCTCCATGACGTCAAACACCATGAATACTTGCTGTTCAGTGAATCTCTCCTACCCGGTATGCCCTTGCACACCGCAGATGCGCAGTATATACTGTTTGATAGTGAACGAATGAGCACAGCTGGAGGCTCTACGAAGGCCTGCACCTGCAGGACTTAGCTGTGTCGAACTTACTTGACCGTAGCATTCCTTTGTGCCACGGAGAACCTATTAACATCTCTCAGCACACCTGTGCGAGCCAGCTGGGGAGATGCGGGTCTGGAGAAGACTCAGGGTTGGCCTCCCTGGCCTCCCAAACTTGACCTTGGGGCAAGTAATCATAACCCCAGTGCAAGGGAGGGCACTTGAAGATGGCCACTGCCCCCCATCCCGGCCTCCCATGGTGCATCCCTGCTGGCTCTTGAAGCCCCCCCAAACATGTGGTCCTATTCCCTTGGGTTCTGGATATTAATCGTGACAACAACAATTGCCGCCATGGCTATGGTCCCCACGGGCCTTGGGCTCTTCTGCACTCCAAGAACTGAGCTCAGAAAGCAGAGTCCTGGCAAGCACTGGCCCACGCTGTGTGCCATCCTGTCCCCCACGGGGCCCTGCAAAGCCTTCCCAGCACCGCCCGCCCAGAGCTCGCCAGCAGAGTCCCCTAGGCTCAGGAGGCCTCAGTACAACCCACCCACGGGCTTTTTATAGTTTGTCCCCCCTTCCCTCGGCCCTCTCCGCAGTACCCAGTAGAGATTTCAGCTTAATAGGGAAATAATATTCCTTGGGGTCGGGGGGGGGGGGGGAGGGAGTGCAGAGGCTTTGCTTCTAACTTAACCATTTGAGGGCTAGCGTGTGAGGCAGTCCAGGAGAACAAATCCACCCAGAGAGGAGGCAGCCAAAATAACACTGTAGGGGAGAGTGAATGGACTGGGATCCTTCCCGGCTGTGTGACTTTAAATGATTTACTTTCCTCCTCTGGGCCTCAAATTCCTTATTGGTAAAAATAGTGATAAAAATCATCCTGACCCGGCCACTCTACTGAGAGGCTGGTGCCGAGGACGCACTCAGTACACAGGGACGGTCATGCTTTTGGTCATGGGCACAGCCACCCAAAGATCTCATGTCTGTCAGAGCAGACAGCAAGCAGTCTGCCATCAAAGCCTGGAGAAGCTTATACGGGCCTGTTGATTCTGTGTTGAGGCTGTGTCTGTGCACTTTCACACTCACTCATAAGCGCCTGAGTTTTATTACCTGCCACTTATGCGTGGGAAATGGCCCAGGGTAAAGTTGTTTGCCGGTGGGCAGTGCCTGGGCTGGAGTTTAGCCCTGGGTCTCCAACTAAAGGTCAGTAGTTACTCGGCAGAACAGATGGGCCTGATGCAAAGCTCAGCCCCAGTGCTGAGACAGGCGGACACTCGACTCTGCAGTCAACCTCAGAGTTGCAGGGAGCCTGGCTGCCTGCTCCTTGGATGTGCGTGCCAGCAAGCAGGGGGTGGGAGGCTGTCAGCACTGAGCACAGGTCCCACAGCGTGTTCTCTCTTGGGCTTACCTAGATCGGATTGTAGCTCAGGAGTGTTTTCTTAGACTCTGTATTTGTCTATTTGGCTTCCACTAATTATAGGAACAAATTAAGAGTAAAAGTTGTTTCCATCTCCCTTGTGGGGGCCCATGCCACCAACCACCTCTTTTTTCTAATTCTCACATACCCAGTCACCCGCCCTTCCCGGGCCCCTGGGCCAGGGACCAGGCAGGAGGGACCACTGCTAAAACCCACAGTCCACTACTCAAACCAGCCAATCCTAAACTTTTTTCCCTGTCCTGCCTTGCTCTGTAGGGACAACACAGTAAAAGCTGTCGGCTGCCAGTTTCCCTTTGCTCCTTCCTGCTCCTGCTGAGCCTGGGCCCTTCACCAAAGGTCCCTGCATGGTGTGGCTGCCCCCTTCTCCTGAGAAACATGAGTAGTAAGAGTCTTCTTTCAATAGTGTTAGCCTTTCCATGTTGTCCCCCAGCCACTTCCATAAATTAAAACCCCATGTGCAATCCTTGAGAAAAGAATCAAGAGGAGCCCTGGTCACACTGCTTTGAGAATAAGCCCAGAGCAGCAGCGAGGCATCACGTGTTGAGTGGTGTAAGCCCCCTGCAATGCAAAGCAGCTTCCGATCAGATCTCCTACAAGTTACCCCAAGAGGCAGGTATTATTCGATCTTGTTGTGGGCTGCCTTGGACCCCATGAAGACCAGAGTCCTCAGCTGTAACAAAACCTGGGGGTGCCTACCTTTCAGGTGGCACGTTATCCGTGTTGCTACTGTGACGTCTCTGCATTTTCCTTAAAACCTGCAAGGGAACGCAGGGCATGAGCCAGTGTTCCATACTCCCCCTGCTGTCAGATTGCCCTGGGGACTGTGAGAAATCAGAGCTGTGCCTGAAATTCCCCAGAGCTGGCCGACCTTTTCCAAACCACATGATGATCTTTTAAGGCCATTCCAACCCTCAACTTAATATTCAATGACATGAGGAAAATGTAATCACCCCATGACACAGAGAAGGATGTTGGGACACACACATGGAGAAAGTCCTCTTGAGAGAGGGGAGAGCAGTGAGCCATGCAGTGAAGGGGTGCTGGATGAGGTGAAGTGAGCCATGGACCAGCAGTCAGGGAGCACGAATTGCAGAATGATACTGCGGTGTGACCTGGACGATCAGAACTTGTCTGTGACCCTCAGATTTCCCACCTGTCAATGGGAGGGTTGGAGTGGTTACACCCCACACTTCCTTTCCGCTATCACATTTCCTGAGATGGTAATGAAGATGTCAGTCCTCAGGGAGACACATCACCTGGTTTACTTTGAGGAGCCACATGGACTTCAGAACTCCATGCTGATGACCTCTGACGTGGGCACTCAGGGTTCCCGATGGAGTGACCGCTGGCTCCCAGAGAAAGCAGGTGGTTCCCTCCTCTTCCTTTTCCAAGGTATGCACACGGTTCAGGGGCGCTTATCTGAGATTCCAAACCCTGGCTGGAACAGACACTTAAGTCAGTCGTCCGTGAGTTGCCTCGCACCCGAGAACAAGTGTCAGGGCATCACGAGTAGACGGACATATAGGACTCCGTCTCCCCGTATCTCTGATTGGCCCCTCATTGAACCCTCTCTGGGACTCTTGAGGACAATAATGATCATAAGTGTATTCTGTCCCACCGTCAAATGCCGAGTCCTGCTTGGGGAATATAGAAAATGTCTTTGCCTCCAACGGCTTCCACTTGCACGCAGAATAAAATCCATTGTGTTCACGCTCTATTGGTTTTGCCTGTGGTAGGCTCACTTGTTTCCAACCCGTTTCTTCTCTAACTAACTGCCTTCCAGTCACACCAGCCTTTCTGTTCCTCAGACGTGCCCAGGGCCTTTGAACTTGCTGCCCCCTCACCCCTGGAATGCTTTTTCCTTCCGGCTAGGTCCCTCTGTCAAATGTCCCTTCCTCCTAAGGGTCTTTTCTTACCATCCTGACCCACTGTAGCACTTGTTTACTTACATGTTTGTTGATTTATCCTCTGTCTTCCTCGAGGATGGAAAAGCCACAAAGGCGGGGGTCGGTCCCCCTGTGTTACCCCTCTACCTCTAGAACACTGACTGGCACAGAGTAGCCCACATCAAGTATTTATACAGTCAACAAACCACCTCTGGGTCTCTCAGTTGCCTTTTTCTGGATCCCTTGCTCTCTTCATCCTAGAGAAGAGAGAAAGGCCACAGACTTTCCACAAACAAGCTTAACCTCCTTGAATATTTTTTTGTACAGGAGCACAGATGGGATCTGAACTTTAGTTCAGAAGCAACCATAAATGGCTGTTAAATGACTTGCTAACCCCAAGGGGCCTCCTTCAGGGCACAGATTGGTGTCACCAAGATTAGAAAGATAACACCCCTCCCCTCTCCTTGCCTTTTGGATCACCATCCATAAGAAGTGGGTGTCTAGCACCATCTTCATTTATGAAGAAAAGTCCATTATGAAAATATTTTCCCCAAACTCACAACGCCCTTCTCTCTTAATGTCCCCCCTCCCGTGAGCCGTCATCACTAGCAAATCCTTGGGGGAAATAAATAGGGTCCCCAAGTTTCCATCCCCCACTTTAACACAGCCTTCTAAGTCCTGTGCCCCAGATTCTACGTTCTTGCTTTCATTGGGGCTGCAGCTTCTCCGCTGAAAGCAGGCCGCCCATAATTCTCCCACTATCAACTTCTGCAAGACATGCGGTGCACGTGGGAAGCATCTCAATGGCTGAGGGAACCGCCTCTAACCCTCGGCTCCATTCACCGTACTACATCCCCAGGAAGGACGACCCCGCGACTCTTCCACGAAGGCGACGGTTTAAAGTGCGCCCCCGGGCCGTTACACGCCCGCTCCGAAATGCAAGGGAGAGCATCCCTGCTTTCGGTGCACAGGTCTGGGAGGAGCGCTGCGAATACAGAGCCCAGGGCGTCTGTCATGCCTGCAACCACCGCTCGGCGCCAAACGCCCCCAGGACTTCAAGGGCGGGAGACCACACCGGGTAAATAAAGCGTTCGCTCTTTACCTGCCCAGACAATTCAGCAGTCACCGCGGCATCTTTCGCGTCCCTCCAAACCAATCACTCGCTCGGCCCGGAGAGCACGTGACTTCCGAGTGCTTCCGGCCTCCGCCGCGGTGCGTCCCCAGGTGGCCCGGCCGGCGCTAAGGCCTGGTCACCGCCGCTCGCGCCGCACGCACACGAGTGCCCGCCCCCTTCCCGCATTTCAGCCAATAGAAAGACGCCGCTCCTCAGGGCCCAATCGCGAGGAGGCTGAGCGACGCCCCGGTCACATGGGGGCGGCACGGAGGGGCTGCCGGGAGCTGGCTGGGCCGGGGGCGGCCGGCGGCCGCGGCGAGAAATGGGGCTGCGGGCCGCGTAGGGGCCATGCCGCCCGGGCCCCGGGCCTGCCCCGCTGCGCGCCGGGATGGTGAACCTGGCGGCCATGGTGTGGCGCCGGCTCCTGCGGAAGAGGTGGGTGCTCGCCCTGGTCTTCGGGCTCTCGCTCGTCTACTTCCTCACCAGCACCTTCAAGCAGGTCAGTGGCCGCCCGCCCTCCCGCGTTCTCTCGCCCGCCGCCCCGCTGCCCCCTGGGGTTGGGGGTGCAGCCACTGCGGACACGCTGCCTGTGTGTCTGAGTTTCTGGGCGCCCACCCCGGGACTGAGCACATTTCGCGGGTGTCTGGGCAAGAAGGCGCGCCTGGCCGTGTCAGGGCTGGGACTCGAACCAGGTACCCTGGGTAGTACCCTTAGAGCCACCTGAGTGCCTCTACCTGCCAGGGCCGGCGCGAAGATGGGTGTGCATTTCTCACTGCTGTCGCATTGCACTTCTTGGGGGGTTGGGTTGTCCTGCTTGAGCCTTCGCTTAATATGGGGGCTCATAGTCCACCTGGATGACTCAATCGGATCTACAAGTTACCCTTTACGTGCAGAACTTGGTGGGATTTTCTTGTCACCTTCCAACCCTTTTAGTGTTTTTTTTTTTTCCTCCCCATAGGAGACTTTCTGGGAGAAAAGGCAAGGTGCTTGGTGGGAAATGACCCCTAGAGCATTAATAAGTTTGTTTACAAGTTCAACTTGAGCATTTAGGTTTTTGGAAGGGATGAGCCCCTAGGATGTACCAGGGACAACTCTGGTTTGTGCTGATGTATTTATTAAAAGCTCCCCATGTCACTCTCCTGGTTCCACTTTGTAAATAAGAAATACACAAGGATAGAAGGTAGGTAACCCATACGGTCACTCTAGATTTAGCTGATGGGGCTGGGGGCCTATGAAAAGGGAAGACAGAGAGAACTGTATCCCAACTTCCATTTTGGCAAACAGACTAGGTAAGCCATTTTGGATTCACCTTGATGTGTGGGTGACAGCATGTGCCTGCAAGCACTCCTGTGACTTGTGTTCTCTGCCACCTTTTAATTGGAGGTCATGTGTTGTCCCATTTCTGTCTGGTGGACGGACCTCTGAATGTTGTTGAGGGTCAGGACTCAGACCTCTGTCTTCCTCTCTGCTCAACCCAGGTGCTCTCTGTGCATAGATTCATCTAGGTCTGCTCTTGATATCCTGATTTGGAACTCCAGCCTAGACCTGGCCGGGTAACCCATTGTTTTCTTTCTTTCTTTCTTTCTTTTTTTTAAAGATTTATTTATGCATACGCAAACTGGGGTATAGGCCAGAGGTACAGGAGGCTGAGTGATTCACCAGAGACAATGGGGAGCAGAACAGATAAATCTACTGAAATACACTGCTGAGGGGAGCAGCAGGTGGGACAGGAGAGGTCTGCTTTGCCATGTGGGTGAGTTCCTTGGCTGGGGATCAAACTCATGCTGCAGTGGCTGGCAATAATTTGATAACTTTAACTCCTGTGCCACCAGGGAGGCCCCAACCCCAAATTCTGAGATTCGATCTCCTGCTCGATGTCTCTTTTTGAATGTGTTATAGGGGCTTCTTAGACTTAATGGAAACAGAGCTCTTGATTCTTACCACTAAAGCGTGTTCAACCCCAGCTGGCCCAGGCTTACTGAGTAGTCAAGCCACAAATGCCAACTGCTCTTTCTTTCACTGCTCACATCCAAAGCATTGCCTTTGCCTCCAGAGTGTTTTCTGGATCTGTTGATGTCTCCTAGTTGTCTCCCTAAATCGTGCTGCCAGCTTCTCCTGTGGGGACCACTACAGGAGCCCCCTAACAAGACTTCCTCTACCCAGCAGCAGGAGCGACAATCTTAACCGCATCGATCGTGGCACTTCACTGGGTTCAGTTCTTTTTTGGGTTCCTGTTGTAGTGAGAGAAAACTCACTACAGACTCTTCTCCAGGGCCTCACCTCACATAGGTAGAGTCTCCTATGTCACTTCAGGTCAGGCCACACTGGCTCATATAGTCTAAATTATTTCAGTTCCTTTGCCCTAAGCCTGCTTTATTTTCTTTGTGGTCAGAACCACTAACTGAGCAATTCTTGTTCATTTACTTGTTTATCGGTTGTCCCTTACTTTTTCTTCAAAAAAGTAATTTTCTTGAGAACAGGGGCCTTGTCTAGTTTTCGCTCATAGGTTCCCAGCTCCTAGAGTATTGCCAGGCATTCACAGGCCTGTTCTAATATTGGAACAAACAAGTGAGTCTTTTTAACTGGAATGACTTCTCACTCTGACTTCCTCCTCATTTTTTATGTCTTGAATTTTATGCTGTCTACCATGTGACATTCCCTACAGTCTTAAGCCCTCCAGTGTACCTTATCATAATTTTTTTTTTCACTATAGTGGTTTTTTTTTTTTTAAACTGACCTATAACCATAATCAGTTTTTAGGGGAGCAGAGGGAGGGAGTGTTCGAGTCCTAAAACAGTTAGTACAGTTTTTGTTTTACAGATTTCTCAGTCTGATTTCTCCATAGCTAAAGCAACACCAAGAAACATTACAGCAGTAACCTCCATGTCCCGACAGCCCCTGGCAACCTACAACAGCTTTCTGACTGGATTTGTCTGCTGTGGACATTTCATATGAATGTCTTCTGGGTCTCAGAAGACCCAGTTAGAAGCCAGTGTTTTCAGGGTCCATTCATGTACTAGCATTTTATGTTCATGTCTGCGTGCTATTTCAGTTTACCTCTACCCCATTTTACCCATTGGCCAGTTGATGGACATCTTTGGCTTTTATGAATAACATTGCTGTGAATGTTGATGTACAAGATATTGTTTGCAAGTATGTTTGCAATTTTCTTGGTCTAGGCATAGAATTGGTGGCCCATATGGTCACTCTGTTTTAACTTTTGGATAAACTTCTGGGCTGCTTTGTTATAGCGAACTTCTAAGACACTATACTTGCTGAGTTTTGATCTAATCTCAAAGACACTATCTGTAATTATCTGCAGATGCTATTAACACACTCTTCCCTTTTCCACTTATACATGTGTGTGAGATAGATTTTCAAATGCCTCACACAAATAACATACTGCATCAGATTGAACATAGAGGGAGCCATGAGAATCCAGCTGTCTTCCATAAGCTAGGCTGAAAGAAATTTGCAGAAATGTAAAAAAGTATTTTCTCTTTTTACGAAATTTTTTTTTGGAAATACTTTTTCTCCTGCAAAACAAACTGTTGACAGATAATGGGGTCACTGTTACTTTTAGATGAGTAAAAATTTACTTAGATTATTTTAAGAATATATGCTTTAGTTTCCAATATGATAAATATCAATAGCCGTAGCCCTCAGAAACCGACATATTGGGGCCTCAGTAATTTGTAATGTGTATAGTGCGTCCTTGGGGCCCAAACCTTGGAGCGGTGCCGTCGCTGCTGGTTGTGGTGGATGAGTTCCGCTCCTTGCTGTGGTTCTCATTGCTGCCACTCAGGAGCTAGGGGACTGTCCATTTTGCCTTGGGTTCTACATCTGTAAAATGGATGTGCTGTGGAATGGATGGGGTTGGGGCGGGGGGTGCTGTTTACTCAGAAGAGACTGAAAACTTTAAAGATCTAGATGATCCTGAGCTCTGCTTCAGTGAGACCATGAACTCAGAGCAGATGTGGCAGCTTTTTTTTGCCTAGAGAATAGTTGATTATCCTCTACTGTTTTGAATTCTTCTTTTCTTTGGTTTTCCTGTTAATTAATGCTTTGGGGGATAGTTGAAATTGTAGAGATGGGAGTGTGAGAGAAATTAGTGACATTGGTGGGGATGCCATAGGGGAAGAGGATTGGGAATGGTGAGTGGTGCCAAGTGACTTGGCCCATTTATTTAACAAATGTTAGTGATACCAGCTGTCTGCTGGGCGCTGCACAGGCTGAAGGAAGAACAGGATTATCGGAAATCTCGTGGGTTAGCGGGCTCTGCTGTGTGCATTTGTGCATAGCCTGTCATTTTTCATGTTGCTTTTGTGTGTGAATCTTTCATACTTCTCCGATCTTTAAAAGCTCCTCATTAAGTACACTTTTTGTAACTAAAATTTTCTATTTATTCGCCATCTATTAAGCATTTGGTATGCCTTCTGGCATTATGGCCCTACCCCCACCCCCTTTTTGAGATTCACAAACACATCTTTTAATGACAATGAGGACTTATGTTTAAGTGTTTTATTACTTATGGGGGGGTATTTGTCTCACTTGACCCTTACGATGTCACCCCTGGAAAGTAAATAGAATAGTTATTAATATAAATCTTTAAAGCCAGCCGCTAAGTGACTTACATTAATAATGAAAACATTTCTCTAGCTCCTTACAATTTACGAAGAAAATGCTCTTTTTGTGTGTGTGTGTTATTTTTTTCTTTTCTCCTTTTTGTTCCTGCTCTTTTCTTTGTACTGGAGGGTACTCCATGTGGACATGTGCTGGTTGGCTGCACTGCATTTGATGCCTATTTCCTTTGTCAGCTAACTCTCAGGGCCTTTTGAGACTAAAGAACCAGACAGCCTTTATCTCTATACGTGCTTAAAGCATTGTAAGAAATTGATGCTTTTGAATGCCTTGTGAGTGAATGTATGTATATATAAAAGCTTAAAATTGAGACAGTCTGATAGGGCAGATGGAGCAGTCAGGGAAAGGCGCAAAACCGCTTATCCAGCCAAGGAATCCCCTCGGAGCCCCTTCACACTGCAAGGCTGGGCCTTTGGAAAGCAAGTGTGTTCATTCATTCATTACGCCTGCTGTTATGTCAGACACAGTCTCACCCTTTTTGATTGTACAACTCACATTGTCATTTTGGCAAGGTCTTGAATATTCACCTTTGAAAACAAGTTGAAGTGCTGGGGGAATTGATTGCCTGTTTACCAGGAACAGTTATGTGGAAGTGGTCCTTCCGGGACGCACTTGCCTGTGAACTCGTTCTCTTGCAGGAAGAATAACAGGATAGTCTGAGTATGGTGTTAAGAGCACTGGTAACCTTATGATGGGCCCAGTTTGCTGGGCCTTTTAATAGTCCGTTGTCTTCTAATAGTCTTTATGACTACTAATTTATCCAAGGGTGGCCCTTGGAGCTTAGTTTAGTTTGCACATAGTTGATCACGCAGGTCACAGATGTGGTCCCAGCAGATCAAGGAGTGTGAATTTATAGTAGTAAGCAGTGCACACCTAAGTGATTTGTCACATTCCCAAGGCTTCTTCGCTTTGCTCTGCTTCTTGCACTGAGGAGTACAGATGTTGTTTTTGTGTAACCTAACCTTATTCCTGCTAGTGCCACTTCTTTCTTTTAAAAGAAACAAAAGGAAGCGGCAGATCAGAATTATAGCCAGGTTGGGGGACTATTTTACATTTAGTAAATTACAGAACAGCATCCAGTACCCGGCTTGGTGGTAAAACCGTGAATGCTTCTTTAAATGCTGGTAATGTCACAAGTGGTATAGGTACCTGTTGGGACGTTCTTGGACACTGTGTAACACTGACTCTGCTGCTTGTTGGAATTACTACATTTTTCATGCAGTGCTTGTGGTAACAAAAACCTGGGGTGGGCTTAAGTGTTGGTCTGGAAAGGATGTGTTTACTAAATTATAGCACATCAACATGACAGATTATTGTATAGCTTTGAAAATGTAATTATCAAGATAATGTAGGTACTTGAATGGGTTACCATGCAATTAGTGTCAAGAAGAGCTGGATGCAAAGCACCCTAATTTGTAGTAGAAATGCCGGGGTCAAAGACTACAAGTTAATATGCAGAAGTACATATACCTTTATTTAAATGATAGGATTGTGGGCAATTTTCCTTTTTTTTTCCCTAAAGACTTATGTATTTATGCATTCAGAACCTGGGGCACAGGCCAGAGGAGCAGGGGCGGTGAGAGGATTCACCGGAAACAGAGTGAGGCAGATCAACGAAGTACACTGCTGAAGGGAGCGAAGTACACTGCTGAAGGGAGCGGCGGGCAGGTCAGGAGAGGTCTGCCGCGCCTTGTGGGTCCCCCCTCCTCCCTTCCCTCGCCCGCCCCCCCCCCCCCAGCTGGGGATCGAACTCTGCTGCAGTGGCTGCAGTAGCTTGATAGTGCTGTGCTTTAACCTGTTGTGCCATCAGGGAGAGCCCAAATTTTCATTTTTATGTTGGTAATCATGGCTTTTTTGTTTTTTCTTAAGCTTTTTATTTTGGAATACAGATTTACTTTAACTGTTAATGATAGTTCCGTTTTTAATAACGATTTTTAAAATTTTATTTTAAACTTAAAATGAACTTATGTCAAAGAATAAAATAAAGTTACTATAATGACCTGTGCCCCTCCCATGTTAATTGTCCATAGTATATCTTTCCATACCATTATTTTGGGTCTTACAAACCTGCATCTGTATGTTACTGTAAATATCATCATAATTGTGTTAGACGGCACATTTTTCTGTAACTCACTCTTTTCACTTAATATACAGTGAACAGTGGTCTATAAGCCTATCTCTTCGTTAAAATCAGCTGGGCTCTTAAAATTATTGGTTCTCTGCTCCCATCCACTCAGTTTGGCTCAGGAACTAGAACTTGTTTTACATAGGTCTGTATATAATTCACCATGTAAGCTAGGTTTAAGGGCTCTAGGGAAATACCTGTCAGTGGTGTGTAGGTTTTTTGTACTAGCCATAATTCTTGAGGGGTTTATGTCATCACATTATTTCTGTCTTTGGGCATTCAGGCCTTTTCTGCCACTTACCCTGGCTGCAGGACATCCCTGGGCATACCTTACATACCAGTGCTGACTTTAGGATAGAAAATGTGGTGACTGCACCAAAGTATATATTTCAAATGCTAGTTATTCTTCCCAGATTACTTCCCCAAGGAAATCTTAGCACATATATAAACATCTTTTCCATTTTTAAATGTATGGAATCTTTGCCATCAAACTTTCAAGCTTGGTCCCTTTTGCTTAAACTGTGACACTTGACAGACCATCGTTAATGCTGGAAGCTGCAGAACTCAGACTGCACAATGCTCACAAAGGACATAGAGGCCTTTTGGAGGAGGCTTTTATGATTGTTTCCCAACAATAGGCCACGAATTCAGAAGACACTGTCTCAGGCTTTGCTTGTTTTCTGGCGCTCAGGCACCCACCTCCTTAACTTCTTAAATAGTAAACTGGAGACCACAGCCTAGATAGCAGGAACAGGTCGCCTCTAGGGCAGCTCTTCACTGTGCATATGTGGATAAAAGGCTGGCTGGCTAGAGTAGTCTCATCTTTCATGAGGAAAAAAGAAAAATAGGTTGTCAGAGTTACATAGTACATTTTTTTTTAAAAGATTTATTTATGCACACAGAACTGGGGTACGGGCCAGAAATACAGGAATGGTGAGAGGACTCACCAGAGACAGCCGGGAGCAGAACAGGCCTGCTGAGGGGAGCAGCGGGCGGGTCAGGAGAGGTCTGCTGTGCCATGTGGTCACCTCTAGGGCAGGGATCAAACTCATGCTGAACTGGCTTTAGCTTCTTAGTGCTGCTCTTTAACCTGCTGCGCCACCAGGGCCCCAGAGTTATGTAGTACCTTTTAATCAAATTTGGAAGTTAATGTTCTTCTTGCTCCTAAAATCAACCTCTAATCTTCACTAAATGAGTCATGCCTCACTAAATGAGAAGGAACTCACTGAGAACCCTCTCGTTAGGAGATTGTGTTGTTCAGTGTCATCATACACAACTAGAAGGCACAGCGTGCTGCACACCTGAGCAGCCACGCATGTGGCTTGTCAGCGGAGCGTCCCTCCAAGGTGTCTGACTGCATTCCTGTGTTTACCACTGAAGCCCTTGCATCTGCATAGGCCAGTGAGCTTGTGCTCTGGGCAGGTCTGTTACTGTCTGAAATGACGGGGTGGGGTGGGGTGGTGGGGGGCATTTCTTTGAAATTGTCTCTCAAAAGTGTATTTAAATTTTACTTTTATTTTGCAGTATACTTATTTCAATATGAACGATTTTAAAAGAATTTGGCACCAGAAAGAAAAAGTTCAAGACTCTTCCCTCCCATTTTTTTCTCCACAAAATTAACACTGTAAGACATATAATATGCCGTTAATCTGTTAGTGTGCTGCTGAGGGGAACCCAAACTGTTGAGGGGTGCATTTTCTGAAAGAGGTCCAACCACTGGTACACAAAAAAGGCAAAAACAAGTATGTTCTGATTGTGTTAGATTTGTAATAGAATTAGTGTTCATAGAGGTAGAGCGATGATATTCCTAATGGAACTGAAAGGTGCCCACCCCTCCTGGGTAAATGCCCAGACAAACAGGCTCTGTCTGAAGTGGAGCCACTGCCGTCCAAACGCTTACCACAAGTGTAAGGGGAGCCACAAGAAAGAGCTTATGTAAATCCCAGGGAGTGGGACAGGAGCGAGAGAGAAAATTCAAAATACAACACTTGATGCAACCTGAAGTCAAGATAATACTGTCTCTCCCAGGGGCCAGGAGCAGCCTCCCATTGTGTCTCTCAGCCACATGTCTCTTCCAAGTATCTCTACATGTCTCTCTTTCACGTGACTCCTTCCATGTCCCGCCTCCAAGTCCCTGAGTGCATGTCGGAGCCCGAGAAGCAAGAGAGCCCAGGCCCACAGTTACCCAGTTATAAGCCAAGTACCACTGCCTAACTACACCCCGGCGCCCAGTGACATGCCCTGCCCCTCAGGAAGTCAGATTTCAGTGGATTCAGTGCATGCTGGGAGTTGCCCTTGATGCCTCAGCTCTCTTAGTTAACATGGAGATGGGGGCGGAGTTCATTCAGGACCAGACATTCAGGACATTCTTGGACCAGAGTTTGCTCCTGTCACTGTCAGCTTTGAAGAATAGTTCCAGTGTATTTTTCCTACAGGTTTACTTTGTCTTTAACTTTGTGACTTTGGCTCAGACTTTGCTCACACCAGGGCAGTGCAGATTCCAACAGTACTTGCTTTTTTATGATGTTTCTGTTCTTTTACTGTGTTTTTGTGAAAAATTGGTGAAAATGCAAGAATTATCCCTTCTCATTTATGGTCTCTATAGGAAGAAAGGACAGTGAGAGATCGGAATCTCCTCCAGGTTCAAGACCAGGATCAGCCCATCCCGTGGAAAGTGCAGTTTAACTTGGGCAATAGCAGCCGGTCCAGCAGCCAGTGCCGGAACTCCATTCAGGGGAAGCACCTCATCACCGATGAGCTGGGTAAGGCCGCTCTGCCCTGCAGCCAGTGGAATAGTGGGGCGTGGCTAATCACAGGACTTTTACATAAGGGTTCTTCTATGTTAACTTTTCCCAGCTGCTCATTTTAATGTTTTCTACACCTTCTTGTCTTTTCATAGTTCACTCAAGGTTTCCTGCAGTGTCAGAGAAACTTGGTTGGCTTGATTGCTGTACATCTTAAGTTCCTGTAACTTACAGTTTCAGCATTATGTCAGGTGTTGGGCCTGAGGCTACTTCCTGCCTGTCTCTTCCCAGTCTCAGAAGATCTTGTCCATCTTCTCATTTTGATGGTGAACTCTGAGGGATAATCCATTTTCTTGCTTGGTGACCTGAATAACGTCCATGTAGTGTTGGCACTTAGCAATGGCACTTGCTGACTGAGTGGATAATTTCAAGATGTGTTACACCCATCCAAGATGTGTTGCCCTGAACATTCATGCGCTCATTTTGATGCTTTTTCCCAGAATGTTCTCGTTTCCTGCTATGGTGAGGTGGTTAGCTTAGACACCTGCTAGAGCTCTTACCATAAGTCTGCTGCAGTCTTCCTAAAGGGAGACAGACCCACATGGAGTTCTGAGCGCATGTTGGGCACAGGGCAAAAAGCCCTTCTCGCAGTGATCCTGCGGATACTTATCTCCTCACTTTGTAAGTGAGGACAGGCACCAGGAGATTTAGGAGCTTACCCAGGGTTGCTTAGGACTCTTTTCTAACTTGTAAATGTGAAACCATGATCACACCAGGAAAAGGAACAGTGAATTAACGTTAATATCCAGTGTTCGAGTTCCCTGGTTGGTCTTTTTTTTTCTTTCAGCGGGTGGTTTATATACAATCTGGTTTGTTTGCAAGAGTAAGTTTTACTCTGTTTCAGAGTCTCATGGATTATGAGATGACATTGATGCAGGTAACGGTCTGCTTACTCTTCATCTGTCCATGGTGAGGCTTAGCAAGACAAAGATGCTTGCTTGCCTTTAAAATGAAAACTACATGCTTTGTTATTTCTTAAAATTGTACACTCCCAGCAAAAACAAACAAGCTCCCCCCGCCTCCAATTTTCCTAAAATAACCTCAAAGACATTAAACCAGTGATAAGGTTGTTTGGAATGAAGGACGGAGTTAGAGGGAAGTCAGTAGCAGAGTGGACAAGCAGGAGGTGACCTAGCTGGACTGGACTAGGACAGGACTTGGCATGGACCTCAGTGGAGAACTCTTTTCCTCACGGGCTGTTTTGTTTGTGTGCCATTTAGTGAGAACGTATAACATCTTATACCTTGATTTTAATATTAAGTATTAGGTTATGGAAACAGTAACTAACAAGAATACTTCTCTTTTGACTAGCTCAGGTGAGTTAGAACTCACTCAGGCTTCTTGAGTAACAAGTTCTAAGAGTGAATAAAAGTCCCAAGAACTATAGATAGTATTTTACCTCCAAGAATAGGGAGATGGGAAGCAGTTTAGAAAAGAAAATTTGCAAAAATGTGTTTGTTGAAGTCAGTAGATACCACCATACGTATTATCAGCATAACATGTTACTAAGTAAGACCACCAATTAGAGTGCAGATGTTCAAAGTTGACGTCCTAGTCTATACCAGCACACTCGGTTTGTGGTCTTACAGAGGTGTAAGAGGAAGAATCTTGAGCTTTCTTCCACCAGAAGTTGGAAGGATCTGAGCTTGAAGGCTGAAAACAAGAAGCTAGCACTGAGCAGGGGAGGAAGCCTGAGATGAGGTAAAATAAAGAAAGGAGGAGGAGGCCACTCCAGCAAGAGAGGGAGTTTAGGTCACGCTATCTGCATCTTGACATGGAGGTGTGGGATTGCTGTGTATTTGTCATATGGGGCAGAGTTTCGCTTATTTGGATTTTTTGCATGTTTGTTTACAATCCCTGTGGGAAAAATGAATAAGCATAGCTAGAAAAAATCCCAGAAACATTTCCTATAGCATTAGAGTCACCTTAAGTTAGAAGACACAACAGCATCGTTCACAACAAGAACACAAAACATCAGTTGTTTAGAACTTGGCATCTATGTGATTGTATCAAAACTTCAGTCTCCCCAGTGTTAAGTGAAGGCTTTTTTAGTTTCTCTGCTGTGGTTTCACTGGTTCCTCCTGCTCTTGCACAGACTGTGTTTTCCAGAGTAGTTTCTGAAAACAACCTTCTACTTTGCCGAGTCTCGTTCTCTGAGGGCTGTAGAGCTGGGGCATTTGGAGTGGAATGGGGCTGGGAACAGCTGCTCCACACCTGCAGGCCCCACAGTACCTGGGAGCGCAGAGCACGCCTGGAAGTCTCGCAGGGGCCAGAGGTGTCCCTCACGGACTTCTCTGTGCACGTTCTGTCTCATGCTCAAAAGGATGTAGCGAAATGTCTATTTGGGACGCTGAGCAATAAATCGGTTTTTTTTTTTTTAATTTATTTATTGTGCATACATAACTGGGGTACAGGCCAGAGGCTCAGGGGCGGTGAGAGGCTTCACCAGAGACAGAGTGGGGAACAGAACAGGCAGA